TTCATATCTAAACAGTTGTTGTTCAAGCAATTCATGATATAAATAGTGTATGGACCACTACTATGTCTGTAATATCCCTGCTGACTTGATGAGCCTTGGTATTGGGCGAGAGGTCTCGTCGGAACTGGATATAGCAAATATAGTGTGATTCATTTATTATCAAATTTTTCTTTGCTTTCACTCACAAGCTCTCCTAACTTATCACAAGCCAACATTTTCTGAATTACGTGTTAGGACTGAAAATTTTATTTCAGTTGTTTTAAGAATTCCCAAAAATGTACTGTAAAAATTATTGCAAATAGTTAATTAGTGTTGCATAAAAGAAAACCGAAGTAAAGTGTAAAAATATGTAATGCATTTAGCGCTGGTTTTAGTGATAAAAAGAATTGAAACTTTCGATAAATTAGCAAATACTCCTCAAAATCTTTAAGGCAGAGTTTATACTATAGGCGTGTTTTGAGAGCTGTCTAGACTTTATTATTTCAAGGTTGTATTTCCCTGGAGTAAGCATTTATTCACCACTTACAAGTTTGTCTTCGTTGGTACAAGGAATGTGCGGGATCAATCATCACTTGGTTATCCACTCGTAAAATCCCAAGGAGAAAAGTCTTAGAATAACACCTACAAAAGCTCTCCGAACGTGTTGAAAGTGATTTCCCTGTTGAAACTGACAGATTTGTCTTGTAAAGATTGCGCTTATTTGAAGATGGTTTTAAATCAGCGGATTTCCCGTTTTTTATTTGAATTAGTAAATTTCTTCTTATAGTTTATCCTTTAGCTGAATTTGTTTCAAAATGAGTACAACACAATGTATAATACACTCTTGAGGATGAGAAATACTCGTGTTCATATAACGCAGAAATACATTTCACAGAAATATGTTTATGAACGCTTGAGTAAAATGAAATTTGCAAATAATGTCGAATGAAAAAACATAATAATGTGTAGAACCCTATTGTAACTAGAGTTTAAACATTTAAACTCACCTTTACTTGGCCCTGTGTCTTCTATGTAGGTACTAACCAAGACGAGTGTTAGGAAATAGGGTTTAACAAAAAAGCACATGACCGGAGAATGAGTGTCTATAACAGTTTTAGACGTTTTACATGGTCACCTATTTACTTTAGTTTATAAGTAATGTCAAGCGACAGCGTAGCTTCTTTGTGAGTTGGATGATATTCTAAGACGAGCGAGCTGGTTTGCCAACTTTATAAAGATCGTGCAGACGTACAAGTCGAGCCACGGAGTACACCAACTTCTCTGCGCAAACGCATATTCAAGCAAAAATACAAACCTCGTGACACGCGACATTCACAGCGAAAAATCATAATAACTTTAGGGTTTTAAATAATAGGCTGTTTATAGAATGTTAGACAAATGTATTGATTTCTCATTTTTTATTGATACTGTTTTCTGTTCTGTTCTATTGAAATAAAACATTTATTTGCTAAAGTACTTAAAGAAAAAAACTCACGGTCTAATATTTCATAAACATTAACATAATCTCTCAAAGGTTTTATTATAAGGGAATACATTTATAATTAAAATTTCTATCTAATTAGATTGGGTGACTCGTACTTCGAGGCATTAGAAGAACTCTTAGATGAAGTGGTAGCTTTCTACATATAAATCTGATTGAAATACCAAAACATATTGATCCAAAACAGCTCTTACTCTTCTTATACGCTAACATACGAAAAACGGTGTTTCGTACCTATAGTTACGAACAGCAAAAGTACACTGGTAAACTTATAAATAAGCCACTTTGATATTGATGAAAGAGATATGGCAGTTATTGTTATTATAAGATGGTGTAGCACATGATGCCAGAAAATGCTTAACTTTTTTTACTTGATTAATATGCGGATGGAAAGTAAAGATGTATATGTATGTCAGTATTATTATTTCATGAAATCATGCGTAAAAAATCGAGTATCTAGTAAATGGTTGTACTAGAAACAACTAAAATTCTGTAGGTTTTAAAATCCTTTGAAATTAAATGATAAAAACATAACCCAAAATAATGTTTAACAGACTGTGTCCTGAATAGGAATGGCTGGAAACTTCCTATTCTATCTCATCTCCAGTTTCAAATTTATTCAGTGTTTTAACACCATGCTGATATTTTCCAAAAACTGTGATAAGTAAACACATGATATATATTAATATATATATATATATATATTTATTTATTTATATGTATGGATATTAACCCACCAAAATTTAAACAAAGGTTTTCAAAAACATCTGTTTAACAATGAACGTTGATCATACAATACCCTACTTTATTTAAACTTTAACCTGTAATTTTACCTTCGTTATGATAAGTTGTAAGATCGAATCTATGTTGCATGAAAAAAGTATAAAAACACAATATCATTATTAATATCATTCAATAAAGAAACGCACAATTACTCATAGGTAGTAGAACATATTTGAATTCGGGGGAAACGATACTTGGTGGGCATGTTATTTATTCTGTTAACCGTAACCATTGAATTGAAACAACGATGTATATATGGGTATATATAGATATGTCTATTCTCAATTCAAAGTTGTACTTCGTTATCGGGTGAAAACTGGGGGACACGTGCATCTCAGGTTACGTCGCCTAAACAACTAATGTTAGATAGATGCCCAAAATATCGTTAGAAGTAAGGACACACTACTGATGATCGAATACAATCTAATTATCATAGGTTTTCTCTTTCTGATGTATAGACATAAACATTAACTTATCTACTCAGTTTGCTATGTCATCTTATTTTTCTTAATGAATTTATCATTTTGAATGGTTTTATTTGTGATGCGCTTAGTTAGCTTAATTTTGATCAGAAGTTCTTAGCCTAGATAAAAATGTTGCTAGACAAATATATTGATAGCTAAATCTATTTATAACAAGTCCAACCAGAAGTGGTAATAAACAGAAGAAACATGCCAGTGTTTATAATAAACTCCAAATTGATGTGCTTTTACATTTGTATATATATATATATATATATATTCTCCTTGAGTGGTGCACCATGCAACTATAAAATAAAACCACTTAGAAATGTTCTACACCTTGTCTAAAATTGTTATCATCTGTAGAATATTTTCGTATGGTTAAAAAGTTACATCTTTTTTTTCAACAACTTATCAGCACAAAATATCTCCTGCAATTATGCACAGAGAATAGAACAAAATCTATTGATTTTTTTCCGGGTCATACAGAGACAGGAAGGCAAACAGTTAGAAACAAAACAAAACTTGAAATATTACACATAATATTCTGAAATTCAGACATAAACAGTAATGGAAATACTTAAGGAATCATACAAGCGATACACACACAGAAGTGACAAATAACGAGTAATGAGCATCTATATGTTGAATATATTAAATGGTAAAAATTATTATCACAGAAGATAGAAAAGAAAAGTGAATAAATTATATAACCGGCTTTTGTTATGTTTGTAAAACTCTTTAATTTAAACTGAGCATTACACCTTGTTTTTAGTGCCAGACAGTTTATGAATGTATAATTGTGGAATATTGTTCTAACTGACCTGTATTACTCTAAACAATCCAGCCAAGCTGTTTCGTTGACTTTTGGTCTTCTCAGTTTTTATTTACGCCTATAAAGCCTAGAGAATATTCAAACCAGGACTTGTTACAGAATAAGCTATTAGTGTGAGTGTGTCTTCCTCCTCTTTACCGACCAGATATGGTTTTATTACATCTCTTGCATGCTTGAGATCATTGTATTTCTGTGGTGTCTCTTCCCTATCAGTCGTATTTCTGAGAGAATGGTATGATGGTTCAGAATGAGCCTGTACCTGTCAGCAGTCAGGGTGTTATTAATTATGTGTAGATCATTCAACCAAACTTGTAGATGTTGTACATTAACTATGATGCTGTTCTTATCGCAAGAGTCGAATAAACTCTCCTTAGTTATTTCTGAACAATTCAAACTTGGATTCATCTGTAAAAAATACACACCTCCAGCTTTACTCATTCTACTGTTTGTGGTCCGATGCCAATTTCAACAGTAGCTGATTTCGAGCAACTACCCGTTCATTGAGACCACTTTTTGTTAGTATGTACCTTACTGATCTTGAATAGTTTTAGCCGTTATTAACAGTACTAGTTTTATATACCTTCTTCAGAGTCTTGTCTACAGTTAAGCATGCATATTTGCTGCACTTTCTATATGGACTATCCTAGATTTGTTCAGTCAAAACCTTCGATTTTTATACGTTTGTCAAGCGTTATTTCAGTCCTGAGACATATGAATGAATTTTTACTGTTACAAATGAACATTAGTAAAACTTCTTGTACTTTGAAAGGTGTTATTTTAGGGTGACATTTTCTCATTTGTTGGGTGACATGGAATCACAATATAGACTATCAACTTGTGACTGTACTCTGATGCATTTCACTTTCACACGATACTACGGGTGGCATTTCTGTAGTATTTGATCTAAGTATCCTGTTGACTCTCTGTATCAATAATTCATTCCAATAATGTATACATAGAATATCTTCATCCCAAATGCAAACTTCTATTATCTCCTATTGTTGTAGCATTATTCATAGATATAAAATGTTGAGGGGTTTGGTATTTGTATTCTTTTGTTAGTTCAAATGTTTTGTGGGCTGAAAATTATCTCAAAGTAAATTTGTTTCTTGCGTTTAAAATATTAAAACTATATGGTAGAACGCAGTTATGTACTTTAGCTTGTTTCTTCTTGAATAAGTTGAGATTAAACTGTATTTCGGGCAAAAAAAAAACATATTTGACTTGGGCACATATATTCAAAAATGTAGATTACACCTGGAAACATTTTCCGCACATTATTAACCCCATTTAGACTGAGACCAAATATTCAGAACTAATATTTAATATAGATCGCTTAAACTTTCCACCTTTTAATGTGAAATGTGAAGAAGCTGAAAATATAGTTTTGGAATGTTGATACAATGTTGGGGGGCATGCATTAATTTATATTCTTTTTTGATTACGCTAATACCAAGAAAGAAATGCTCGCCAAATGAAGTAATTCAGAATACCGAAGAAAAGGTAAAATTAGTGACTGAATATACTTTAAAAATCATAATATTCCTTGTCTATTAAACGTTAACTAAATTTGGTAGTATGAGCTAAATAAATGTCCCTGTATATAAATACATTATGTATGTCTTCACAAAGGTGTAGTCAGAGCTTCACTAAACAATAAAGAAACCATATTCCATGTATCTACGTGCATATTCGCTAATGTACCTGCTTATTTTTGTTACTTTCCTCTCATGTTAATAAAAAAAACGTTGCATTTATGAGTAGGTGCTTGTTTTTACATTAAACCCGAAGACAGTTTTTCAAACCACTTACATTGATGCGAATTGAATAAGTAACCGGAAATATTCCATTAAATATTCATTTTTAGATATTAACTGTTATATAAGTGGTTTTACACATGTAGACTTCCTAGAAATTATCCAGTAACGTAACTATACATCTTTTACCGGAAAAATAATTTTAAAGAAAAAATAACGCTAACACCTGTTCTCAATAAATTTCATAACACACTTGACCTTTCTTTCCTTATTTCTTCACGGAGAAAAGTGTGTGGAAAAGTTTACGAGAACAGAGAATGAAACCTTTCATGACAATGATGTCTAAAGACAAGAAAAATAAAACCATCAAATTAACACAATCAGGAAAATGTTGACCTATGCTCAACAAATTTTAAAACTGAAATATTGATTATCATGCAAGATAATCAAAAAAGCTTATCCGGAACTGTGCTTTAGTTAAACTGTTATTTATAGTTGGATATTAAATAATGGTTTAAATGCAACCAAGCATTCTTTCAGTTATCGCTTTTCACGTATCTTCCGGCGGTCCAGCGATAAGCTTCAGAGCTTACAACACTTACATTCAAGGTTCGATCTCCATGTAGGATAATGCTTTGATGCTTAGTGTAGCTTCGCGTTAAAACAAGTTATCAAATGTTTCCATGAGAACTAAAATTATTTAAGCTTAGCAAGAACAAGATTAAATTTTAATCTAATTAATTTAGTTTAATAAATGTAAATATTTCCATTATACTTAATGTTCTAAGCTGTAATCGCCAAATACATTAATTTAGAAATCAAGTGTATAGATAATTTGTGTTTGAATTATAAAACAATATTATGAAGAAATAATATACAGCTGCAGTTAACCCCAATAGA